ACAATTCCTTCTCCTCCATTCTCTTATCTTGGTCACGCACGCACACGCTCCTGGCATGAGTTTAAGCCACTGGGTCTGGGACTCATACTGCTGTCTACTACATGGGAGTTCAGCGACACAGCCGTTACGCCAACTGCTGGTCCCCTCCTGATCTTTTGTTTTTCTATATTATGCACTTGATCCTAAAATATGGAACAATTAAAATGAACATAATCAAAGATTAGTGAAGATAGATTAAGTTATTCTGTAGTAACAAACAGGCCCTCCAAATCTCTTTTTTTTTTTGAGAGAGATTTTCACTGTAGGGCGCGTGAGCTCGCCAGACAGACAGAGAGAGACATAGAGACAGAAAGCGAGAAATCAACCCCTAGGGGGGATGGCCAGACCACAATCCCTTCTCCATTCTCTTCCTGGAATATTGGGCACACATGCACATGCGCCTGTGTGAATTTGAAGCCACCGGGTCTGGAACTTGAACTGCGGTCAGCTATGTTGGAGTCCAGTGACATAACCACTACACCGTCTGCTGGTCCCAACCTTTCAATTTTTAATGCCTATTTCATGGCACTCACAGCAGTCATGTCCGCATGTCTGTTTATTTTTACAATGATGGTTGCATTCTCGGTTTCCAGGTTTTTTGCAGACAGTCATTCCTAAAATAATATAAGAAAAACAAACTTACTGCTAAATCTATTATTGTGTGCTCAATATAATTAATTTTTATCCAGGCTCTTTTCTTTCAGACAGTACAAAAAGATTATGGTTTTCATACTTCCTCAAATGCTAACATACTTCCTCAAATGTAATTTTTAAAAGTCATTTTTGATAAGTTGGTCCCTTCCCCATGCTTAGCCCCAATTTCTAGCTTTTTACAAAGGAATATATAATTATCTATAAGCTTCTCTCAGCCTTCCTATATAAACAGGGCCACTATGGAAGCATATCAGTCACTTTAGTGCTGGATGAGGTAAGAATGAGGGTAGAGTTTCAATACTCCTGCTTAATTCTTTTTTTTTTTTTTTTTTTGAGAGATTTTCACTGTAGGGCGCGTGCGCTCGCCAGACAGACAGAGAGAGACATAGAGACAGAAAGCGAGAAATCACCCCCCAGGGGGGATGGTCACGCTGCAATCCCTTCTCCTCCATTCTCCTCTCGGGATCTTGGACACGCACGCACACGCGCTCGGCGTGAGTTTTAAGCCACCGGGTCCGAGACACGAACCACAGTCGACTACGTGGGAGTCCAGCAACATAGCCATTACGCTAACTGCTGGTTCCCTCTTTCAAATTCTTGAGGTTCAGCCTTAATGTTCAGGAGCAAGCAGACAGAGGTGATCCAGAATCTCTTTGCTGTTCTATTGTGCTTGCGCTAGCTCGTTTGTTGGAGGCTGAATTATTAGTAGAAAATCTTCATTCCCTTAAAAATCTAGTTCACAGTAGCCATGTGGAACCTTGTCCTGAAGGCCCGTGGCTTCTTCTCTAGCAGGCCTTCTTCAAAGGCCTTTCTTACAGTTCCTAAATCTCTGATCTACTGCCCATCTTTCAAAACCTAGTTCAATTAAATCAGTGTGTTCCAAACTCTTACCATATACCTGTTTCTGGACTGAGCTGAAAGATCAAGAAATGAATGAAACAGATGGAAGTTCCATCCTTTAATATGCTCCTAAATAGATGTGAGAAACAGGAAACAAAGTATTTTGCCACACTGCGGTCAAGGCCCGATGAAGATGTGGTGGGAAGCTACGTGACGCTGCCCATCGAGTGGGGAGGTGGGCAGGTAGCCGAGTCTGGAGAGAGGTAATGAGAAAGTTAAACATGGAAGAAGTATGGAAGAAGTGAGTTAGGAAGAATGTAACATATGATTGCTAGATGGTTAGATATATGAAGTATGTTGGATACCACCACACTAAGGAATTTGCCTTTGATCCTAAAATCTATGAGGAATTGCTAAATAATTTACAGATAATCCCTAACTTACAATGGTTTTGTTCACAGTTTTTTACTTCACGGTGGGGCAAAAGCCGTATGTGTTCAGTAGAGACTGTACTTTGAATTTTGAATTTGGACCTCTTCCAGAGTATGTGGTAAGTATCCCGAGATACCTTCTCAGGACGCTGGGCAACAGTGGCAAGCCACAGCTCCCAGTCAGTTATACAGTTGGGGGAAAACAACGGAAACCCTGCAGGGTGCTGAGTGATCAGCCTTTTTTGGATATGATTTTGCCCAATTGTAGACTAATGTACGTGTATTAAATGTATTTTCAACTCATTTTTAATATATGAGCATTTATTTGTATTTGCACCAGGTGAGCAACATGGTCAGATTGGTTTAATTCTTTTTCCCTAATCTTTTTTTTTTTTTTAATTAGAGATATTTTTGTTATAGGGTATGTGCACTCACCAGAAAGACAGAGAGAAACAGAAAGTGAGAAATCATCCCCTTGGTGGGATGGCCATGCCCAATCCCTTCACCTCCAGTCTCCTCTCAGGATTTCAGGAAAGCACACACATGTACCCGGAATGAATTTCAAGCCACCAGATCTGGGACTCAAACTATGGCCATGTGGGAGTCCAGTGACATAACTGTTATGCCATCTGCTGGTTCCCAGATCTGGGTTTTAAGAAGAAACCTTTATGGCTATAATGGGGAGGATGATGGAGGACAGGAGTGCAAGGGACTAGTGAAGGAGGTCTCCTATTGGAAGCTTTCCTTGACAACTACATGCCACATCCTCTTCCCCTCTTCTGTCCCAACTTCTATACTGCTTCCATGCTCCTGGAGGCTGGAACATCCCTGGGAATGCACACTCAGTCTACGTGGGATTGTCTGGTGTGTGTGTGTGTGTGTGTGTGTGTGTGTGTGTGTACTGGAAGACCAAAGCAGTGATTGTGGCTAAAGATGAAGAATGGTGGCTCTGGATAGCAAAGGCACAACCTTTGCTGGAGTATGTCCAGACACCAGGCAAACCCACAAGGAAGGTGGGAGACACCGGAATAACTCAATGACAGCAGCAACAGCGGCTTGGACAATGAACAAACGCCACCTCAGCAAACACTGAGTGTGTACAGAATGAGGGCAAGACTATATGCTTAGATGTTTGTTTAATGTCTTTATCTAAAAAATAGATTTTGGGGCCTGCAGAGGGCATAGTGGTTAAGGGCATTGGACTCCCGTAGTTTGAGTCCTAGACCTGGCAGCTTGCTTTCTCACTCTCTTTCTCTCTGTCCCTCTCTGGTCAAATTAAAATAAATTAATAGGGATCAGCAGTTAGCATAATGGCTATGTCGCTGGACTCCCATGTAGTCACCCGCGGTTCGAGTCCTGGACCCGGTGGCTTAAACCTCACGCTGGGCACATATGTGTGTGTGCCCAAGATCCCAAGAGGACAATGGAGGAGAAGGGATTGCGGTGTGGCCATCCCCCCTGAGGTGTGATTTCTCGCCTTCTGTCTCTCTGTCTCTGTCTGTCTGGTGAGCGCACACACCCTATAGCAAAAATCTCTCAAAAAATTAATAAATAAAAAGTTAAATAAAGTAAGTATTTTTTTTCTTTAAGATAAAAAAGGACTCTGGGACCAGCAGATGGCTGGTTATGTCTCTGGACTCCCATGTAGTCCACCACGGTTGAGTCTCTGACTTGATGGCTTAAAACTCACGCTGGGTTACTCTATGGCAGAGACTGAAAGACTGGAGGACATACAAGCATTAAAAATTGTTATGTGGGGACCAGCAGGTGGCACGGTGGCTAAGGTGCTGGACACTCCCACATGGCCTACCACAGTTCAAGTCCTAGACCTGGTGGCTTGCCTTCTCACCTTCCCTCTCTCTCTCTCTTTCTCTCTCTGTATATGTCTCTCTCTGGTAAAATTAAAGTAAATGAATGACTAAATAAAATTAAATGAATAATTAACAAAAACAAAATTGTTATGAACACTAGAGCCAAAGTGGAGAGAGTGGGGGAGAGGAAGAGCATGGGAAAGGAAATTTGAGGGAAGAAATGGAGAGGAAGGGCATTTGTGGGATACGGATATAGTTTGTTATTTGTTGATGAAGATGTGCGTATGTTCTCGGCTGGGCTGGACTGAGGTGTGTGTCACACTGGGTAGGGCCTCTTTACAATCTAAATGATGTATAAATAATCATTAAAATTAATAAATAAAAAAATCAAAAAATAAAATAAAACTCATGCTGGGCATGTGTGTATCCGTGCCCCAAATCCCAAAGAGGTAACTAGAAAAGGGATTGCAAGGTGGCCATCTCCCACTGGGAGGTGATTTCTTGCTTTCTAACTCTCTGTCTCAGTCTGTCTCTCTGGTGAGCGCACTCACCCTATAGCAAAAACCTTTTTGAAAGGGGGGGGAGCAGCAGGTGGCGTGCTGGTTAAGGGAGCTGGATTCCCACATGGCAGATCGTGATTCCCAGATCTGATCTGGTGGCTTGCTTTGCCTTTCTCTCTCTGTCTGGTCAAATTAAAATAATGATATTAATTATAATAACAAATGGAATTAAATAAATAATTCTTTTTTAAAAAATGGATTTCAGGGGCCAGCAGTTAGCATAATGGCTATGTTGCTGGACTCCCATATAGTCGATCGTGGTTCGTGTCCCGGACCCGGTGGCTTAAAACTCACGCCGGGCGTGTGTGCATGCGTGTCCAAGATCCTGAGAGGAGAACGAAGGAGAAGGGATTGCGGTATGGCCATCCTCCCTGGGGGGTGATTTCTCGCTTTCTGTCTCTGTCTGCCTGGCGAGCGCACACGCCGTAGAGCAAAAACCTCTCCAAAAAAAAGGGGGAACCAGCAGTTAGCATAATGGCTATGTCACTGGACTCCCACATAGTCGACTGCAGTTCGTGTCCCGGACCCGGTGGCTTGGAACTCACGCCGGGCACAAGTGCATGCGTGCCCAAGATCCCGAGAGGAGAATGGAGGAGAAGGGATTGCGGAGTGACCATCCCCCCTGGGGGGTGATTTCTCACTTTCTGTCTCTATGTCTCTCTCTGTCTGTCTGGCGAACGCACACGCCCTATAGCGAAAACCTCTCCAAAAAAAAAAAAAAATGGATTTCATCAGGTTTACCTTAGGAGACTCAACTAAGAGAGAGTGCACGAAGTCCTTGTAACGCAGTAAGAACCCTTCTTTTCTTCTCATCACATAAATCAAGGAACATGCAAGTCTTTCAAATTGATGGTGAAATAAATATTCAAAGAGGGTCAGTCACCACCAAGACCACCACAGTTCAGAAAAGCCACAGGCAGGGCAAGCCACGGTGGCATAGTGGTCATGCAACACTCAGCACTACTGAGGCCATGCAGGAAGTTCCTGAGTTTGTGTTCTAAGGTCTCCCTGTTGCACACTGGGTCTTGTACATGAGCCTGTGATTACTGGCTGGCTGAGGCTAGGGGTAGGATCACAGTGTGAGGACTCCGTTGGTAGTTCCTATCTGTCTGTCTCTCCCAAGAGATAAACATGTAAAGGGACAAAGTTCAGGACAGGACAGGTTCAGACTAGCCTACACATCACCTGAGGGTTGTAATAACTCAGGTATTGAGTACCGTCCTCAAGCCTGGCACACTGTTTTATAACCTCCAATTCTCACAAGAACCCTACAATGTGGATTTCCTAAAACCATCTTACCGATGAAGGAATAGGCACCTCTCTCTGTGTGGTAAATTACTCACCTTACCCAACTCAAGTTCTTTTATGGGACAGTCGGAGTCAGGTTGGAAGGGAACCTTGGGAACTTGTTTGTGGAGATCAACTCTCTGCTCGCGAGGAGAGAGCCAAGTCTGGGGCCTTGCAGGAGAACCTCCCCTTGCTATTTGTTGGAGAGGACAGGGCTCCCTCTCCTGATCAAAGACAGAAACAACACTAGCCCAGAGTTTTCTGGGGTGAACCACGCCGGATCTCACTTACCTACGAGGAGGTCTTCCGTTTGCTTTCAAAATGCTCCCCGCCAGCTCTTGGGAGGAAAATTTGGGGAAGGGGCGCGTAGGCTGGAATGGAAACTAACTCAATGTTTCAGAAGGGCAAGGGTGGATAATTCGGTTAAAGTTGGGGGCGGGGAGCAGAAGAGACTGGGATCAGGGAATGAGAGAAATCGGGGCCCCGTTGAATGATCATAATTTTATGTTTTTTCAACAGGTGATGGAACGCAGCTGAGCAATAAGGTGAAAGGGTGGCTTATCCAACATGTCAAACCCAGGTGTGTCCAGGGACCTTCCGGCTGCCCTCCTGTCCCCAGAATCAGTGGGGCAGACCAGGGCGGGAGAGGCTTGCCTTGAGCAGACGTCAGATTAAGGGAGAAGAGCCGAGGGTCGAGGGGTACTCAGAAGCGGGGAGGAGCCAGCCAAGGATCTGGGCGCAGTTTCCTCCCTAAGTTCCGCCCCAGCG